AAAATTTTTGACTATAATTGACACTTGTTCAAAATTTGCTCAAGCATATTCAATGCCTAAAATAAATGGAATCAATGTTCTTGATGGACTATTGTCATTTATTTCTCATCATGGAATAACACACACAATAGTATGTGATGGAGGTTCAGAATTCAATAATCAGAATTTTCAAGATTTTTGTAAGCTACATAAGATAAATATTCATTTAACCACTCCCAAATATCCTAATTCAAATAGTTTTATCGAAAGGTTACACTCAACAATAATTGAACAAATGAGAACTCAAACAAAACAAAATCCAATTCAGTCCCCACAAAATTTAATGAAATATTCAATATTACATTATAATAATTCTATTCACTCTTCCATTGGATATACTCCATTCGAAGTTGTTTCAGGACATCTTTCTTCGAAAGATCCATCCGATATATCTGAAAAAGATATTGTATCAAAATATGTTCATGACCATAAAGAAAAAATGAATGAAACATTCAGACAAATTAAAGACAGAACCGAGCAGGAAAAATCAAGAAAACTCGAAAGAAAAAATGAAAATCGACAAGAACCCCCAATTATGACAAAATATGATGAGATATATCATAAAGAACAAACTCGCGACAAGCTAGCTCCTCGTTTTACAGAAGTTCAACCGATAGCTCAAACTCGAAATAAAATTAAAACAGATACTTCAAAATATTCGAAACATAATCTGAAAAAACGTAAAAAATATTAATACATGAGTTTATTTTCAGATGAGGCTAATATTCGCATTCTCATCCTATCTACTAATAATGAATCCAATAATAGGATCCATTCATAAATTAACTAATCCTATAGTACCCATAGAAATGGAGGTAACCAGAGTAGTCTCTAGTAAACATACTTTTATCAGCTATATGAATATCACTGAGTTGTTTGATATTAAGAATAAGCTGGATTATCAAATAAATTTTCTCGATAAGAAAAATGCGCTGAGTAGCCAAGGAACTCTACTTTTGCAACAGGCACAGACATTGTTATTACAAGTTGACCACTTACTACAAATTATCCAACCTCATGTTATCCAAAAAAGAGGACTCATCAATTCAGGTGGAAAAATCAATGAATGGCTTTTCGGTACTTTAGATAATGAAGATGGTGAAAGAATAAATTCAATGCTTCAGTCTTTGAATAAAAATGATCAACTCATTCGAGATGAATTGATCAAACAAATGTCTTTAGCTAAAGAAATTATGTCACAAAGTAATAAAAACATTTCATCAAATTAAATCCAATATATATAAAGGCTTTCAATTGATCAAAAATTTCCAAGATCAGGTTAACGAAATAAATGCTCTACATTCGATAATAAATTCTCTTATAACTTTTCAAAGTCAACTCAATCAAATTATAAATGCCATTACTTCTTCAAATTTCGTCGAACCAATTGGTAAAATTCGAAAATCAACATAGGTATTATAATTTTCTAGTGATACAAACATTATTTACTTCTAAGAGAATAATTTTTCTTATACATTTCCCGATCTTGAAACCTGTACCATTCAAAACTTATTTTATTTATACAGTCCCTATCCAAAATAAAATTATGTTACCATTGAAACCTTACCTTATCCTCAATGAGAATGATGGACTACAGCAATATCAAGAGGAACCATGTGAAGAGATCGAGAGTGTCTTCTACTGCAAGAACAACCTACAAAGAGATGAAAATTGTATCACGAATATCCTGATCAAGAATGAGGCAGCGAACTGTTCCATGTATGATGTAAACTTTGGCAAGCAGTTGACAAACCCAGTATTTCCAGACACCATTCTATTCTCCACTCCAGTGAATATCGTTATTACTGAGAGCTGTACCACTGAAAATCATCACGAGATCCAGCCTGGGAGTTACCCCATATCCATTCCTGAAAAATGTTATTTCATTATTAATAACGAAACATTTCTACATGGGCCAGAAGAACTTTCTCCAGCAAAAATCATTCAATTACCTTCAGTGAATATATCTCAGATATTACTGAGTTCGACAAAAATTTCAATCTCTAAAATGGATTTAGATGAAATCAAACATCTAACCTCCACTATTAATTCCAAACATCAGTTCCAGCTTTCCCACGAGCAGAATATTAATTCTGACTCCTCACCTGTATGGATAATTATCCTCATTTGCATATTTGTATGCATCATAATTTCCTATGGAGTAGCATGTTACTATAAATATTGCTATCCATTCAATTTATGCCAATATTATCGTTCATCTCGAAGCCAGCCACCATTCCACATGGAGGACATGAAGCCTGACCAACCAACCCACCCTCAGTCTTCATCTTAAGAAGGGAGGAGTTATGTTCCTGGAGCCGGACCTGTCTATGGAGACAATGCGATGACATCCAGAATGCAGAGTCAGCTTCCTACCGGACTTTATCTTTCTATTTTTGCTGAATATTTTCATACCGTGAATTATCTTCTAAATCATAATATAAAAAGGAAATATGTATTCTATTGAACATTCCATTTTTGTCACTTGTATCCTGCATTCTCAACTTCATTAAAAACGCATCGAGAAAAGACAATCTTTTATTGTGTGTTGAGTGAATGTTGAGAAAGAGTAATTCAATACAAAATTGGTTTCAAAACTACGAAGGTGCTTCTACGAACCACAACTGCTAGGGGCACAAACAGAACTGGTATTCGAAACTAGCCGAATGATAACGAAACAGAGAAATCGAGTGAACTGTTACCTGTTGTTATAAAACTGGTAATAATGGCAAAATCATTCCTTTCACTCATAGAAAACAAGGATTGAGGGACAATTATATTAATGTTAGGTGGATGGTCGTATACTGAGTATTAAACACATCGATAAAAATTAATCAAGCACGAGAAAGATGGCCTGTTCCAGGAGCATAGTTGACCTGCCACTGGAAGTCGATATCAGAAGAAAAAATTCCACCTATTGTGATGATACAAAAGTTCATTAATATATTTGTGAGTATCAAATTTTTTGTCAAGTGTACTTGTGTACCTGGACCGTTTTTCTCTGTCTTGTATTTATTTAGATATCTCAGAAGCCTCACTTGAAAGGCTTTTTCGAATATTTTTGAAGAAACCGATGACAAGGCAATCGGCCTTTAATTAGACATATTTGACTGACAACCCTTTTTATTAACTGTGATAACTAGAGCAGATTTGAGTTGCTGCGGAAATATACCTGATCTAAAAGATATGTTGACAAGAAATGTCAACACCTCGACTATTTCATTCAATACATGCTTTAATATTCGACATGGTGTATGGTATGTAATTTATCCCCCCTACTTGCCAAAATTTTCATGGGCAATCTAGAAAAAGAATTTCACGAGAACCCCATTTTTCAAAATAATGTTAAGTTCTATTACAGATACGTTGTTGATTCCATAGTTTTGTTTGAGGGCGATGGTACTATGCTCAATGATTTCTTGTTTTTTCTCAACAATTCACACCCCAATATCAAATTCACCATAAAAGTTGGAGATAACGGTTCTATCCCCTTCTTGGACTAAAAGATTTATAGATCTCACAACAACCTCACTTTCGACATTCACAGAAAGCCCACCGATACAGACACAGCTATACCGTTTAGCTCCAATCACCCCAATCAACAGAAATTTGCCAGTTTTTATAGTTTGTTTCATAGACTCTTCAATTTACCTCTTTCAGTAAGTTCTTTCAATAATGAGCTCAACATAATGAAACAAATAGCACATAATAACGGTTTTCCACTAAATTTGATGAACAAACTTTTTTATAAACACCAATCAAAATTTATTAACAGGAACCTCCCGCCATCAATCGAAAAATCCAACAGGATATACAGATCTATGTCCTATTTTCAAAAATCCTTGCACAACATAGCATGCCTTCATCTTACAAAACCAATAATAGTAAAAGTACATTCTTAGTCAGGCGTTCACAAGATCGAATGCTCTGATTGAATACGTTGGTCTGACAGGGAGAGCTTTTTCCAATAGGATAGCAGAACATAAAAAGAAAATCGACAAATTACTATTACATTACTATTTATAATATATACCAGTGATATTCTGACCATTGTTGGCTTTCAAGGCAAATGAGGTAGGAATTGGTGTTCTCAAATTTGCGGAGGTTATATGCCTCGGGAAACACCTCCCTTGGCAATATGTTTCAAAGCCTTGCTGTTTGTTGAACTTGAATTGAGTCACACAAACTCGATCGTTCATCAGAAAATCATAGTTTGCTGAGTACTGTTGATTATTATTGTATAGGTTGGTGATGTCTTCGTTCTATTCCACGTGTACTACTGGTGTTGATTGTATAGACATTGGTTTAAGTAGACGGCCACTGTATCCTGTTGACTGATACTGAAGAACGTGTGTCACTGTTTTGCCGTACAGGCCACTCCTAACAAGTAACAAGCAGTACATGCTCGACAGTTCGTGAACTGTTGATAGTTTTGGATTCATGGACCGATATCAAGAGGTTCAAATTGAACGAATGATTTCATTCACTTATGGTGATTTGTCATCTACAATTCTGAAGAATTATGAATCCGATATTTTTCAGAAGAGGAACATAAATGGATACAAAGTGGTAATTGATAAAGGAATTCTTCACCGAACGAAAAAAGTTTGCCATGGAATAATCCAGAAAATGAGGAATATTCCGAAGTTAAGGGAAAAACATTCGGAACAGAACATGACTGATATACCACTGTGATATGTTTCATATACTATTCAATTATCTACAACTGCAAATATTTCATTATCGATCCGAACATTGTGAGAGCTAGGATCACAAAATAACATCAGGAGAAGATCTCAGATTGCGATACTGAATCACTCATAAATATATGTCTAATCTAAAATGTTGCGCACGAGTATCAAACAAAGATGTGAATGGGTGAAAATTCAAGAGCAATTCTTGTGCATTCAAGGAGAATGCGTTCATGCGCAATCTTTATATGGAGTTCGCAATCAACTAACCTTCCTACCCCTCATTTCTGGAACAAGAAAATCGCTGTACTGATTGCTGAGGCACTGCAACTTTTCATCGTAGTTCACTAAGCTGTTTGGCGACCACCAACTCCTCAGTTCTCCTGGAATATTGTCCCCATACTCAGCCATCATGAATATATGAGATATTTCGTGGGCAATTATTGATGCTAGGCCACCGTAGTTTATGTATTGTGGCCTTTTTGGATGAAAGTAAACGTCTCGCAATATACCGAGTGGAAAAGCTGCAACATAGGGCGTTTGTCAGTTCAACTATTGATCAGTTAATTCTTGGACAAGTTAGGTACGGTGTTTTGAAGAGTGTTCCATAAAACGGGTACATTCTAGTTATATATGAGAAATTCTTCTTCAGGTCCTTATGAACTTTGATATCTTGAAATAATAACATGACCTCCGACATCGAGAGAAACAGGGCAAACGAATCTTCGGAATTCTGATGCTTTTTCTCGAGGTGAAGCCGCCTGCGCTATGACATTACAGTAACTATACATGTTCTTTTCTTGATCCACTAATGACTTGAGATTGAAAACAACAGGACGCAATAATCATAGAAAGAAGGATAGTGATGACATTGAGATTGATGAATAAGTAAACCTAGCTTTTCTGTTGAAATCATCGAAAAATAAGACTAGACAGATTCTAGAATGAAGCAGGAGTATATTGCAAATACTGACAGGACTGCTAACGAGACACCGTCGTCTGATAAACCGCTTGGAAAAGATAGACTATTGGTTTCGCTGTGTGGAAGACATCACGAAACAATATACATCGTGAGGAAAAGTGGGCTGTAAAGTGATATGTAACCTCTAGGGGTTAGCCAAGATGAAGTCTCGTGGGGTCGCGGTAAGGGCGCGATTTTTTCCCACTATCATTGGACCCAACCTGATTTGAAGAATTAACTATCCTCGGTCAGGATACTAGGCACTCCAAAATCATCCTGTCCCCTCCCCTTCTCCTACCTCTCTCTTCTCACGCCTCACAACTCTCCTCAAACTTGATAATATTGAACGTTTTCATTTCAAAAAGTTTTGAAATGGTTTTCGTAAATTAATTTGCCTAACAAGTTCAGTGAGATGCGAAATCTTTCAACATTCTGTCAAAATTGATATACTTCGTTATAAAGGGTGGGTCAAAATGTTAACTGAGCTTCCTGAGGGTGATAAAACAGTGGAATATAATTATAGGTCTATGATGAATTCAATTGACCAAAATTTATATTGAGAAAGATTTTATATCCTTCCAGAGTTGAACAAATTAAAATAATTTTGCCGCATACCTTTTCAACGGTGAAAAACACCATACTGAATTTTCTTGTATGGATGAATGTTGATAAAAAGTATTTCAATGATACACTTGAAGTGCACATTTTTCTTCGTATTATGTTTGGTTGAAAAATAGAAGCATTAGAATAAAGCGAATTGGAGAACCTAAAAGAGGTACTCTTATCAAATATCATGATCGTAACAGTTTTCGAGGTATTCGAGTTTTTGTAGTGACATGATATCGACAGCAACAGTTATGATATTTCGCTTCAAACTTTTTGGTCGGACATCATCTGTTTTTCTTCATTTGAAATATTATTCGTCACGTTGTTTTTGCGTTATCCTCAAAATTCTTCTGGATTTCAGGATGCGTCATGCAGGATACATCTCGGCATATCGAATGATCTACAATTTCTTGGAATTTCAGTAATCAAGACTGTCAATAATCACAATGCTTGTGTCATAAATGTCAAGATCAAGAACGAAATTGATCTTGACCTTCCAAAATATTGCCACCGACAAACTAATCTGCTGATATTATGTGACTACTCAAACTCAAATAAGTCAAAAACGGTTACAATTCCAGTATTTCGATGAAAGTACTGTTTTATGTGATATCCTTCGCTTTGGTATTGGTGTTGGTTAGTGTGGATGGTGACAGATGCGCTGTGACCTTATGAGATCTATTGTGCTTAATTTTCTTCTGCTATCCCAAGGTTTTCCTGTGTATAGCATGCTCTCAAGCTTGAATTCCTTCAGGAAACTGGAAATTTTTGATAAATCCATTCGTGGTATTCCTTCCACGGTCAGCTGATATGCTCACTATATATTCGACATTTCGAGGTGTTCACCAAAACACTCCAACAAGATGTGGTGGGGTGTTTCTGGATGTTGCCCGCAGAATCTGCAGGTGCTGTCTTCCCCTGAACCAAACCTACTTAGGTGTTCTCTGAGTCTACAATGCCTCGTTAATGATCCCGTCATTGTTCAATCTTGCTTGGTTGATATTGTTGAGGAGATCTTCGGCCTTTCGCAGTCCTGGAAGTCTTCACCAGTGTGTTACTTGTTACTCTCATTGCTCCTTCAGCATTCTCAAGTTTCTCGTGGAGAACATAACAATTTCTGAGGCTGCAGAATGGTTCTGGTCCGATCAGTAGAGTTGATGCTTCTTCTCGTGCCAGAATGTCTGCTTGTTCATTTCCCCCCACTCCGATGTGCCTTGGCACCCAGAAAAGGGTTACCCCATTTCTCCTGCCTAGATTGTTGAGTTTGTCTAGGCATTCTCAAACTATCTTTGAGTTGATGTTGAAGGAGCCCAACGCTTCGATGACTGCTTGACTCTCGGAAAAAATAGCGATCTCCTTGTTCCGGTGCTCAGTTCTGTTTTTCTCGAAATTGTACTTCCTGATAATTTCATCAGTTCAGAGATCAGCGATGTGTGCACTACCAGTGGGAGGTGAATCTGTACACCATCAGTCATGATTTCGCTTTGCTGACAATCTTCTGCAGGTGCCGATTCCAGAGGAGTTTTGCGTTCTATGATAAGCCCCAGATTCTTCACCTCTTGCTGCCATTCTGGTGAAGGGTACCACTGTGGTTTTTGATGAGTTGATTCTCAACTCCACCGAGAGGCACCACCTTCTCGTAGCTCTCATTCTATGAGATCGCAGAGGGTTCCTTCGAATTTACCTTGGACCATAATGACTATGTCGTCAGCATAGTCATGACAAGTTACTCCGTTTTTGGTTAGTATTACAAGTTAGTACTACGAGACTCCACATCAAAGAGGATAGTATCCCTTCTTGTAGATATTACCTGCTTGTGCTGATCTGAAAACTGTTCCCATCCACTGTTGTTTCAGCAGTTCTTGTGGCTAGCATTTTGCACATCCACCTGGATCCGGTTCGGTCAATCCCCTTGTTTATCAGGACCCTACGAATTGCCTCATGAAAAGTGTTGTCAAATGTCCTCTCAATATCTATGGAGGCGCATATGGCCGTTACTTCATGCTCGAGTGATTTTTTGATGTTTTCTGTTAACACGAATTAAGCGGTTTCCGTCGATCTGGCCGCCCTTCATGCTTGTTGTCCGGGGTGCAGTGGCACCCTCTCCAGTTCCTTGGTTTTGATTTAATTATCCACGATCTTCTTCAGTGTATCCAGTGAGAAAGATAAACGACTTCGGGAGGGTATGTCTTTCTTTTCTACTTTGGGGATAAAGGTTACTCGCGTCCTCCTCCAGTTGATCGGTATGTACTCGAGCGCTGAGCTCCATCTAACCGCTTTGATGATGAACTGCAGTAGTTCCGTTCGCTCTTTTCGCAAGTGGGCCGGAAATATGCCGTCGATTCCAAGGAACTTGAATGGTAGGAAAGGCTTCAATTGCCCACTTCAACCTTTGGGAAATCCATATGTTTTTTGCTACTCTCCGGTCTTCTTGTTTTGCTTTGCTTGGTGTATATGTAGCTATAATCTGTTCTTCTGAGTGACATTGGTCCTTGCTCTCCTCTCTGCCCCTCGCCATATCTCCGTTCTGCAGGGATTATAATGATTGTCTCACAAGAGTTCCTGAAGTTGTCCCTTTTGGATTTTCTAATTTTCTTGTTATAATTTGTCAACCTTTCGGCGTAGTCCTGCCAGTTTCCGTCCTTTTTAGCTCTATTGAGAAGCCAGCGGACCTTGTTTACGAGATTTGACAGGTGTTCATTCCACCACATGATTTCACTGTGTGATTATTCTATTTCGATGGAGCAGCTGGATTTGAATGCATCCATAATTGCCTCTCCCACCGCTTCCAATGTCTGCTATTTGACGTGACTTTTACCGAGAAATTTTATCTGTTCTGAGTTGCATCACAGATTGATGGTGTATTCATCCCAATCCGTGTTTCTAGGATTTCTAGTAGGGGGTTCCATGTGTCATATATATATATAAGTTACACTTCTGTACGCTCTATTGTATCCGTGGATAACACTTTGGGTTATGCCTGTTGTTATCCTATATGATTTCGATAAATAAATAAATAAATAAATAAATAAGCCCGTCCACGTTGAATATGATAATTCTGTGGTCAGAAAGGTCGGGTTCGTCTGAGACCCTACAGTTCCTCCCCATTCTACTAATGCTTGGGCTGCCGAGCGTAACATCTGATACTTCTTGTATAATCCTAGTTACAAAGGAAGGATTGCACCCTACATCGAGTATGTTCGAGTAAGCCGCGAGTGAAATTTCTAGCAGTCGCTCCACCTCTCTGATTGGTATCCGTGCTGCCACAGATGGTGTTGTGAGCATTGGCGTCACAGCCCAGCAGAAGACGTAGGTTACTCCTACTGCAGTAGTCAGATAGCCTCTGTACTACTTCTGGTGGTGCTAACCTATCTCCAGAGAGGTATCCTGAGGCTATTACTAAGTCAAGGGGTCAAGTTTGGCAATGTTCGAAACTGTCCGTTCATTGACTCAAGGTTCATGAATCAATACAACTCCCAAGTGTGCGCTGGTGAAAACCCTCGATGAGGCTGCTGATTTTTCGTAGCGTGGTGAGTATTCACCTAGAGAAACTCGACTGTGACTTTATTACCTATTGCTGCTAGTGAGTTGGAGTGCTTGCCTCCTCGTCATCCAGCAGCATAAGCTCTCCTTCGCTGGGAATGACCGTGGTATCCTTCTCGATACTCCTAGTCAATTTGGCTCCGCTGGTCACATTAGTTTTTGTAGCAGCGGAGGCTGTATCTTGCCCGCCTCTTCTACTTCCTCTTCTACTTTCTTCTCCCCACCCGAGTACTTGCAGAGACCATGAACGGAAATTCTTTAGAACTTGAAGAATATAGGTTCATTTATGTTGCGATTTCAGAACTGTTCATGAATCGTTCTCAAACTGCGTAGAACTAGTGCGCGATCGTTTCGATTACTGGGACTGTTCCAGAACGGTTCACAAATTATAAAAACCTCAACGTTGCAGACGAGAACCTCTGAGAACATAACTTCTATTCAGAATTTGCGAAAAAACAAAGAATTGGAACCTGTATCTTCATTCTATTGATATTCTGGAGCATCAAACTCTTCTTTGAGTCTATTCACAATATCTCTGGAGGCCTTTCATGGAGGGATGGTGAATATATGCCATCAAAGCATCCGTAGCTAGATTGTCAATATGTTTTGTCTTCTGTACTTACTTGAATTCTGACTACAACCTGAAATGTTCAATGAATTGTGTTTCTGAATATTATGGCAAAATATCCCCATCATACTCCTTCATTATCCGGATGATCTAACGAGAAGTTCGAGAATTATTAGATTAGGCACAATATTTTCAGCAACTTCAGCAAGGAACTCCTTCACCATTGTTTCCTGAAGATGAAGAAATGCTACTATCAAATGAATGTACTAACTCCATAATATTGAGGAAACATTGAAAGGAGCAATAAACAATAATATAAACAAAAATATATCATCATGACGTTACGCTTCAACAGACAGATTCAAAAACTAGATGAATTGAGTATGCGCCAAAATTGATCCTAGAACGGTTCATGCTTGAAAACAGGTACTGGTTCTGGATAGCTTTGAAACCGTCTCAGGACGACTCTCAAAAGACCCAAACGCGTAGAGAGTCAGTCCTAGAACAGGTCCACAAAACCCAAACGCGACCTAATCTATTGCGCAAAATCCTGACAGTTCTAGAACAGTAATTGTTCGAACCCAAATGAACCTTATGGTGTAACCCGTATTCTTGATGGTCACGCAGGACTCTATTCCAAAATTGGGGAGCTGGCCATTGCCCTTCTTCTTGTTCCCTAGTGTTCTCCACAGCTGAGTTTGGAGCCTCCTGTTCTGTGTTCTTTCTAGGGTGAGCAACTTCTCTGGTTCGAACTCCGTACTCTTCGAAAAGAACACTGTGATGGTGTGCGCCCTTGGAATGTCGTCTCCCAGGCACATCATCAGCTCCAAGCTTCCCCAGGTGCCCAGACTAGGAACTTTCGCCCTCAGCCAATCCGCCGTTTCTTGGTTGACATAGTCTACCAGTAGCATACTGAAGCGGAAGTGAATATCCCCGAATCGAAGTCTGCATTCCGCGCCTAGTATCATCTTCATCATCTTCTGCACGATTGCGTCTTCTAGTGCTATAAGTTGATCAGCACTCAGCGTCTCCTCCGGGTAGTTTCTTGAGAGGACTGCTATTTCCATCATACTGTTTGCCTCAGCATAGCTGGTGGCTTGCCCAGTTTGCTGAGCATTGGCGATGCTACCTACTGCTACAGTTCTTCTTCACCTAACGTTGGACCGTTGAGGAGGCGTTCGAGTTTTAGGCTCCCTCTCCTCTGTTTGTTGAGGTGGTTGCTCCTAGGGATCCTTTCTCTCGATGGATTTTCTTCTTGCTTTCTTTGGTGTCAAGCCCTGTTCGAGAAAGCGAAGTTACCATCCTACTCCTGCCCCGCTGAGGTGGATCGTCGATACCTCTGGGCTTGCTTGGACGTGGCAGCGGCATTTGTCTCCTCCAGTTCTTTGCGGAGAATTTTTTGGAAGGAGAACCCTTGTCAGATGCTTGCATTGCTGGTTCTCGTCCTCCCTCCTGCTTTTTCCCTCCCTGTCTCTCAAGGTGAGCACGGTGTTTGAGAGGTGCCAGGACGCTCTTGAACGTTCTGGGTTGAGATAGCATCTTGCATTTCGGCTTCTTGTATAGTGTTTTCATTCATGTTGGTTCCACAAGTATCTAGGAAACTGATTGTCGATCACGCCAGAGTTCCTCTCGGCGTGGCGAGGCTGGTACTCGAGGAGGTCGCTGAGTATCCTAGAGTCTCCGTTCGAGACGTTAATCCCCCACCGCCAGTTATCAATTGGCACGGGTCTCGTTACACTTTAGATTGGAGGGTTGCTCAGCGTCACCTCATTATTCATCCGGTGGTGACCAGCAGCGTGCCTATGGTTGCACAGTCTGTGCTGCAGGTCGTCCGGCTATTCGTCACATGCAGATGCTCCTGGTAGACACCCAAGCCATACGGTTCACCAAATGCTTTAATTTTTTCATCAAAAATTGTTCGAGAAAATGAGTTGTGATTCAAAAATCATTACCCACATATGAATAACAGAAGTGTATCAGAAAAATCTATTCCATCAACATATATTCATGGAGACAATTCAATTCTGGTGGCTTTCACGGTTTAGAAGTTAGGAATACAACTTATTCCATTCGATCAACTCCGGAACAATATAATATCGCCCCTATTGATCATTTTACTGAATAATGAATGACAATCGATACATTTGGATTAATCCATTTCTTTAGGGACAATATGAGGCAACTCTATCCACTGTCCATATTGATATGCGCAGTTTCTTCTCTTTCTCTTTCTAACCGGTCCCTGAAAATCTGCCGCACTGCAATAATGCTGCTCTAGGCTAGTGCCTAGTCGGTATGATGATGATTCGGGGCCTGTCTGTGAAGTCAAGAGTACCCGAACTTCTGGTTTCTGAGTACCAATGACCATTTATTTTTTGTTATCTCCTTTGGGCTGATCACTCAACGTTAGTTTTTTGAAGAGTTCGAAGGAGTTATCCAATTCAAAAACGAATAATTGAAAATAGGCAGTGAGCCACTTTGTAACCAACTGGATACGATTATTCTTCTGAATATCTCCATGATGAATCATTATTTGACGATTCTATATGAAGTAAAAAAAATACCATAATGACTAATCATCTCGACAAGAATACCTGTGAAGTCGCATTTTATTCCGAGAAAATGCAGTCGTGTAAATATTTCAGTCAGATTATTTCTTGGGAGATACATGAAGTACTATATATTTCATGATGTATTGTTTTCGCATTTGCAAAATCACACAGTGAAATCGTAATTCGGAATTTGACACATATTATGTATGAATGCATTTTTGTCACTTTTTCATAAAAGCTGCATTTGCAACAGTGCTGTAAGAGTCGCCAAACAACATTATCATTCGAATTGATTCTCAATGCTTCCAATCAAGGTAATTAATAGCTCATGGTATAATAGCTTAGTCACTGCTGAATGTGATATCGCAAAAAAAAAGTGTATACGGTGCCCACAACTGTTCAACAAGTCAGAAAAAATATCATGTTTTCTTCTTGTACGCACTTCAGCGGGCAAAAAATCATTATATTCCATAATATAGCATAGTCTAGATGTGGCGAAACCATGTCGATTACATTTCTTGAAGGTAAGTTATAAGAGATAACTCGATAAATCGTTGGAATCGGAGATAAAAGTGCATCTGAGATGCTACCAGAGGATTTCAAGTTGAAACATTTCAAATTGTTTAAGTCGGAATGATAAAACCACAATATAAAGAACTACACAGTATGAGGATTGGGCAGTTTCAACACCAGTCATCATTATCGATAAATCAGGAATAGCAATAAAAAAAAATACTTGTGAGTTTGACGTATCTCTCAGAACATCATCGAGCAGGACAAAATGTGATTCAGGATTGTAATTTTTAGGAGAACATTGCAGTCAACTTCATCGTTCAAAAGTGAATTGCAGTTTTGCAGGTGGTATTACAGATGGATTCAAGCTCGTTCGAATACACCATCACTTCGACAAACAGTGAACAAGATGAATGATCGAGTTGAACAGCAGTTTTACGAATTCTGTCATGCAGTACGAAACATTTGGAAAAAAACGATATTGATGATCGGATTTCAGTAGTTAACAGAAACTGTAGCGGATCCAACGGAAAATATTATTGGTTGATTGGGTTTCATATCATGTTCTTTCTAAATCAACTAGACGTGGTGATACCAAATGATTATATCAACTTTCATACTCACTGAGAACATTCTTCTTCGGAGAATATTTGATGGTGAATCCAGTGATGAATGAGCTATCATCAAGCCATTCGTCATCAATATATTTCCTGAGTTTACCGAATTCTTTATCCATTGAGATGAGGTTGAGACCCAGTGTCGACTCTAGATACTGTGTCTCATTGATTAACACCTACAAAAAATTTAATTGTGTTGAAAAATTACAACGCCGATGACAAATATTGAAATAATCAGAGTCAGGTATATTGAGGAGATTACCAAGAATTGAAATATCCATTAGATTCGCAGCTATTGAAAGATGGATAACTCAACTGTTCCACATTCGTATTCTGAATTTATCAATCATATGTTCTGTTCACTTTGTAGGATACAGCAAATTGTAATAGATAACGATAGATGCTACATTATTCATAATCACCATTCATATTGAATCTAGGCGACCAGGGGTCAGTTATTTCCGTCGTTTTTATATTTCTATAAAATAAGAGATAGACTATCAAAAAGCCACATCAACATTGTGAGGTTATTGATTCGAAACGAAAATACACGGTTCTCGAGAGGATATGCATTGCGACAGACTGCGGTGCCACGGAAGAGCAGATATCAACACTCGACACATCTTGAGGTGAGTTTCTTCGAAATCGTTATTGCAATATACCAACATACGGTGTAGACAGATATAAAACGTCACCAATGGGACCACTTAGTGAATACATGAGTAGATAAGATTAGCCGTTTCTGACTCTCCGCCCGAGGTCACTCTCCTCTGACCTTGGGCGGAGTGACCTTGGGCAGGAGTGACCTTGGGCGGAGTGACCTTGGAGCAGGAGTGACCTTGGACCGGAGTGACCTCGATGCGGAAGTGGCCTTGTACGGAAGTGACCTTGAGTAGGAGTGACCTTGGGCGGGACTGACCTCGTGTCCGAGTGACCTTGATGCAGAAGTATCCTTGAACAGGAGTGACCTTGAGTAGGAGTTGCCTTGGACGGTAGTGACCTTGAGTAGGTGTGACCTTGGGCGGGAGTGCTCTTGGGTAGAGTAACCTTCGCATGTGCGACCTTGTGAGTGAGTGACCTTGAGTTGTAGAGAGAGACCTTGACCGTTAAGGAAGGTTGCACCGTATGCGACGTTGCGTGACCTTGAGTGTGAGTGTCCTTGAGTTGTAGAGAGAGAGAGAGAGAGATCTCGACGGTCGAGGTCGTATTGGTAGAAGTGGGGCGATGTGTGTTACGTCATGACTCTGCCTTATATAAACCCAATAGCTGCGTCCGTGAGAGCATAGTTCTCTCTCAATACTATCATCAACATTGACCTCATTAGTTTTTGTGAGTGATACATCATCTGAACAATATGTTATTCTGCAGTGTGTGCGCTAAGTCTTTCACGCGTAGTGACAATCTACGACGCCATGAAAGAGTTGCATGTGTGGGAAATTTGAACCCTCCTATCGCAAAGAAGCCTCGACTGGGAAATGGCACTCAGCAAGCAACAACTTCTGTAAATCTGCAGGCATGTACCATTTGCAATGAGATGATTCCAGCTGATAAAATGAGCGCTCATAAAAGGACATTGGAGCATCGAACAAACGCTTGCGTCAATTATAGGGATGGAGTATATGTGATTGAGAATGCGTTCAAATGCCGTATTGTAAGTTATAGATTGGAATGCAGAACTGATGTATTGGATTACAATACGATTTTTAATGAAAATAAAGCGACCATAATATCCCTATTGGATAATATAATCTCGATTCACCACTCCATCAAAGTGAATATGGAAGTATTCGGAAGATATATTTTACAATCCCAAGATCTTCACGATATCAAATCCTTCATGACACCAAATCACATCATGGATTCATCGCTGGATTTGGAGGCCGTAGTTGACACATTCAAGGACATATCATTGAATCAAACGACTGAATTTGAGGAACGCGATTCTGGTGAGTTGATATATTTTTCAACACTTCTGATTATCATCTGATGGTATTATTGTTATAGGTTGGGCTTTAGAAAAAATCATGTTTCTGGAAATCAACATCAACAAATACAGTCCGCTGCGTGGGTGTTCCTACATGAAGCTACCTAGCTTCATAGAGAATAAAAAGGCAGTAGTGAACATAGTGAACCAGGATGAGTGCTGTTTTGCTTGGGCTGTGACGTCTGCACTGTATCCGGCAAGGGCTAATGTTTGCGAAACCTCTTCATATCCGCACTATTCTACGGTTCTGAATTTGGTGGGTATAGAGTTTCCTGTTAAAGTGAGTAGCATCCCAAAATTCGAAATTCTCAATGATTGTTCCATCAACGTTTACGGGTTAGGAAGTGTGTTTGAAAAACATCAAGTGCAATATCAGATAGTCGACCCACTGTATTACTCTAAGAAAAGAATGAGTAAACATGTGAATTTACTTCTGACCACAGATGATGAATCCGGAAATAGCCACTATTGCTGGATAAAGAATCTATCTAGGCTGGTATCTAGCCAGATATCTGCCAGGGGGCATAAGAAATTTTTTTGCGACGGCTGTTTGATACATTTCTCAGATGAAACAAAGTTGTTACGCCATCAGCTAAATGATTGTAACCATACATGTACTACAACTCCATCCACAGAGGTCAAAGTCGATAAATTTGGAAATTCAGTACCTGAAAACATTTTGAAATTCGAGAAATTTGAGAAACAGATGAAAGTTCCATTCGTTATTTATGCAGATTTCGAATCAGTTCTGAAGCCGATACATAC